GGGGCACCCCCAACTTCACCCTGAAACAGCCTGAAACGCTGTACAGCCAGGCGTCGCTGCCGGGGAGCGTCCGATCCTCATATGAAACTTTCTCGGTATAATAAACTTATTCAAGTCCCGTAAATCCAAAATCGGACGTAGACCATCATCCCGCTTGGGGACCGTAAAGTATCTGGAATAGAATCCATGAAGTCCGTCAGATGGAAATACTTGAGGAATCGCTCCTTTTCGGAGAACTTGGTGTATTTCGTCGAGAAGTACCGGCGAACATGAAGTAGACCGGATCGGACTCGGTGGAGGAACGATGTCGAATTCTATTCGATAGCCGTGTTGAACGATGGATAATACCCACCGGTCAGATGTGATGGACTCCCAGATGGGGAGTCGGCTTCGGGGCCGATCCCCAGATGAGAGGGGGGCGGGTATTAGAGGAGCAGGAGGAGTGGCTCGCCAGTCCCGTCGGCGCTGCCTCCGATCGCCAAATCGGCGCCGGTCCTGCTGGTATCTTTGAGGTTGCTGACGGCGGTGTCGGAAAATATCAAAATATTGATATCGCGCCAACGTCGCCTCGTAGTTGGAAATGCGACTCCTAAGCCCGAGGCAGCATGGACCCGCCTGGCCAGGGAATCTGTTTTCCGGCCCTCCTTGTCCCTCGGCGCCGTGTGTCCCCTCGCCTCCCTGCCTTGCGAGGATTCGACGACCGCCGAGTCTGGTTTCGGGTGCTTTAGCAGGGAGGGGATGCCTTCTTCCCGGACCCTGTACATAGACTCGTATCTCCTGGACGCCGGCTGAGGATGCGAAGGTAGGTCCCGGGGCTGCGCCATCGCCCGCCGCAGGGTGGTTATAAGCGGCAGGACGAGGGAGGTCGATTATCCTGAGTACGGCGGGAACCTTGGGGTAAATTCAATAAAGCCTCAGATGGTCTGGACGCTCGGTCTTTCCCACGACCCCGAGGTTTTTTTTGGGGGGGGGGTTGCACATTTTTATTAAGATTTTAAACTAAAAAATCATCAATCATCAAATACATCGGACATACTGTGTCAGCCCCCTACAACATATCTTTTAAACGTTCTATAATCATATTCAAATCGATTTATAAAAATTTAAAGACATCTTTAAATCTAAGCCAAGTCCCGTTTCTCCAGCCAATCGTAAAAAAGGTCCCAAGTTTGATAGAAGTCAGTATCTTCTTTCTCCTTCAATAACAGTCAATCTGTCCATTTCTGCACAATCCAGAATCTTTTTTAAAATCAGTTCCTCAGTGGGTAGTTCCTCGCTCTTCCAGTATTGAGCTAGTGCAATCCTCGCCGCTGTGATTAAATGTAGTATCAAATACATTTCTTGTTTGCTCATATTTTCCGGTGCAATGCCTAAC